ATATATATGTTGTAAGTGGAAACGGAAATTAAGTGGATTCGGAATTTATATATAAAACCGGTTTGAGGTTGATTTTATCATATGTACACCCTAACCCTAACCCTAATTTAACCAGGAAATTCCAAATCCACTTAAATTCTATTCCCACTTACAACATATGTAAGAAAAAAGGCTCTATTGTTCTATTTCCGAATCAAAATTTTCCATTGTCCAACACTGGTTACTTTGTCGGGTTTTTAACGCAATTTTTTACAAAATTTTAGTACATCCATTCATTTCTTAATATTCATGTAACTAAAATATAAAATTGAATATACAATGCAGCCAATGAATGACGTTATGTCCACGGTGATAAGGTTAGTAAATAATTATGTCATGGGATAATGTAACCTGTCACAGATTACAGGCGTACGTTGTTGCCATCTGGGTTGGGAGAGCAACACGCATATGTGCAATTTTAGTCCTGATGGTTAACAGGTGATAAATACAGACTTCAAGACACTTCGTTATCCTCCCTCTTTATTAAGGTCTCAATGTTCTTCCTTAAATACATGACTTCGGATAAATATTTACGCATTTACATTCGTACTAACAGATCTTGAATGAATGCTCTCTTATACTAAATAAATTACAACATATGATTATCACCTACTAATGTACATCGTAACAACGTAACAATACAACTTAAAAAAGGATAAAGTTAGTAATTTAGGGTTAGAACATTAGAGGCTTTAAGCATAAATGATGTAAAGTATTTTCCGAATTGGTTGATTTCCTTTTTGAGTTGTATCATTAACGCACAACGTACGTACGTAACGTACGTACGTTGTTCGTCATTACCGATACAGTATATTCGATTGAAAAAATATATATATATTAGGGAAGGGCGTGCAGTTATTAAATTCAACCAATCGAAGTTTTTCCAATTTATCCGATAATAAAGAATACCACATAAAAATCCCTTATTATTCATCGTTGCTTAAAGTCAAATACGGGCACTTATATGGTGAGAATTATTTAATGTGCTCATTTTATAGTATTTTTTTGAAATGTTTAATATAGTGAATAGCTCAGTTTAATATACCTGGGAAAATATATTATTTCATTTAAATACTCTTATCGCTCAAGATGATCCAAAATTCATTTATTGACAGCTCCAAAAAGAACCCGAACGATAAGCAACCTATACCTGATAATAATAGAATTAAAAATACTGCATCTTGCAATTTTTGTAGACAGAAAAAAGTCAAATGCAACTATTTAAATGATGGTCGATGCAGGCAGTGTATTAATCATAATATCGAATGTAAATCTGACCCGCAGAAAAAGAGGGGTCCCAAGGGTCCTGAAAAAGAAACTGGATCGAATACACCATCTAGAGTTAGAACAAATTTATTTGAGAATGGATCAACTTTACGTTCCCTAATTCAAAATCTGTCGAACAGTAATTTGTTTGAGAATTCTTTAACAGATAATGAACGGACATTACTTAATTTAGTGCAGGCATTACTCAATCTAATTCTAACCAGAAATTTGAATAGAAACTCTTCAAACCATGATGAAATCCATTTGGTGGAGGTTTTGTCTAGAACTCTAATGACCAATGAGCAAACCAGAAATTTAGTTGAAAATTCTTCAGGTATAAATAACATGCGGTTAAACAACGACCCAATGTTAACCGATTCAACCCAAGAAAGTTTGCAAAGCAGAACTTGGGTCGAAAATTCTTCGGTAATAAATAATAAACAAATGCTATCTTCAATAAATAACGAGCAAATGTTTTTACCAAGTGAAGAAGATCGACAAAGGAAACGAAAAACTATAAACTATGAACCTGATGTTGAGTTGCATAGGAACGTTTCTAATACAAATGCTTTACGTTCTCCAAGCACAAGTTATACGGTTTCAATGCATTCAGATAACGAGCAACAAAACTTGTCTGATTTACAATTTCCAGAAACAACTCTACAGAATTTTGCAGATATATCATTAACTGAATTGAATAATCAAATCTATTATTCCCCGATCTTTGGTGGTACATCAGATAATTCATCTGACCCATCGCCTCTTATAACTGCGGATTCTCAACCAATGCCAATGTTAGGTGATACGTCACCTCCTATTACTGCGGATTCTCAAGCCATGCCAATGCAATTATCGGGTGGTGCGTCACCTCCTACTACTGCGGATTCTCGAGCAATGTCACCATCACCTTTTACAATTACCAATCTCGTAACAGATCCTCTAGCCACGCCGATGCCATTTCTTAAGTTGGTATCACCTATGATCAATTCCTCTACGGACCCTCAAACCATGTCAATGCTGCCGCTTGA